GGCGACTTCGATTTTCGAAGCTGTCAAACGCAGTCGCCGTGTCGCGCCGCTCTGGCCTGGGTTATACGTTGTATGTACGTCGACGTGGATTTTTCCAAGCGAAAAAACGCGTCGCCATTATCGCGAGACACGCCGGGGATTACATAATTTCCGTAGCGAGAGTGCTCCCCCGCCTTCCCGTGCTCCCGCGTGTTTCCTCCTCGCTACTCGATTACCAACCGCTCGATGAACCCTTCTTTTTTGCACAGAGAGAGGAGAAGTCTCGCACGCTGACGGGATGGGTTGGGTGGGAGCAGGCTGCAGAGATACAGGAATCGTGAAAATTTCGATGACGACGACGGGGGTGGGAAGCAGCCACGCGACAAACGAGTGCGTTTGTTCGACGTCGAGCGTCGTCCCTGCGGCGCGCTGATAATTGCCGCGGCATTCAGGTGTAATTGTTCGGATGAGCAGCGGCCAATTAATTATCGCGAGGCCACCGACCGAGCCGCGCCGTTTTATCAACGGCGCATGATCTACGAATACACCACGGTGGCTGGCGGGGGAATACGGCCGGGGTTACGTGTTGGCGTATGTAATAATCGAACGATGCGCGCCGGAGCTACGGGAAAAGCAAAAGGTCGGTCGAACACGTGCCCTGAAATCGCGGGAAATTTTAACGCCATCCAAACGATTTATATATATATATATACGTATAAAACGAAGAGTGGGTGGGAAGCGGGGCGAATGAATGCCATCGATAACGGGGGGTGGTCAAACGCGGGAGCGAGTGCTACTCGTTTCACCTCGACAACGTAGTGCGATCGTCGACGTGGATCGTGTCGCGATAAAATTGAAATCGTCACTTGACTTCCGTAAGCTCCCGCCGCGACGTGTCGCATTATCCTCGTTACCTGTCGCCTCGAAACTTTTAATTACGTTTCTGACGAATCGTCGCGTAAAAGGGTAACAAGTGTCGCGCTGTTTCGTTTGTTCTCTCCCTCTTTCTCTCTCTCTCTCTCTCTCTCTCTCTCTCTGCCCTTTAATCGCTGTAATACGTGTGTGCTCGCGCGTGTTTTTTCCTCGTTTCTTCACGCGTTTCGCTTCCGATACGATCTCGTCGCTGGGTCCTTCGTTAACGACTCGCGCGGCGTTCACCGAATGTTCCCACCGTGCAATTATGCCAAGATCGTTCGACAACGACCGTGGCCGTGTCAAAAGTCTGAATCGCCGGCCGATTAAAACGGTTAAAAATCGTTGATTTGCGAGCCATCGTTTCGCAGATTGGGACATCGATCGAGCTGGAAAAAATACCGGCCGTCGGGCGATAAATATCCGAAAAAATTTCACCTCCGGCCGAATGATGATTTATCGCGGCACAGCGGAGATGTACACAGCGTAATCCCGGAATTATAATCTCTGACTGGTTGATGTTCGAATTGAAATTAATTGAAAGTATTAACCGTGATTATGGGTGAATGGACAGGCAATCCGTCGATCGACGCTGCATTTTGACGGACGCCTCTGAAACGTGACTTGGCGGTTAAACTGGTTAGAACGGCCTGATACCGGCTACGGGAAGAAAAGAAAAGAAAATTGAGGCGCGAATTTTCTCGCATATTCGGCCACGTTAACTCGCGAACGAGTGAAATGGAAAATGTTACACGCTGGATAACGTTCCGCCGGTATGCTGGACGATAATAACGTTGAAAAGACGAGCGCCCGAAATGGCAAAACGCGGTCTTTTTAAATTGAATATCAGACAACTAGCTAGACCGGCTGTCAGCGAAAATTCAATTTTCATCAATTTTAATACCAACGAAAAATCGAATGTCCCTCTGATATTCCGTTAATGGACTGCTCGGTAGCTTGCCTACGGGCTGATTCGCGACCAACTAAAACCGCAGCTTATTTTCACCGTGAAAATAGGCGAACGTCGGAGGAAAATATCGCGCAATTTGTCATAATCCTACTTCGACTGCGACTCCTTCTTTTTTTTCTTTTTTTTTTTTTTTTTTTACTCCTCGTCAAGTGAAACGTAGACTACTCTTGTCTCTTTTTCTCGATCCTCTCTTTCCGTCTCCTTCGAAAGTTTCTTTCCAACGACGAGGCTAGGAACGAGATCGAGCGAACTCAAGGTTGGCGAGAACGACGACACTCTGTTTCGCGTGATATTTTCATTTCCCACGGCGTTCGCGTGGGTGACGGGGAAAGGGGCAAGCTGGATAAAACGAGGGAAACCTCGACGAACGCGTTAAAGTGGCGCTTATCGATTCAAGCCGCAAAGCCGCAGCCGATCCAGGCATTTGTCAACGACGACAGGAAACGTGGCCCACATAGGGCTCCGCGTCGCGTTACCCGGACACGTTCGCGGTGCTGCGCCAGGGACGAACGGGGCAAGTTACAACGACAAACAGCAACCAGCCAGACCGGAGAGGCACAAGCGCAATTATTATTACGTCCATTAGGCTTGTATTCCATTGGCAACGGTTCGGCCCGGCAGCCCGACCACCGACCAGAGGTTATTATCCTATTGAGCTCGTAAGCAGTTGGGCCGCGCCATGTCGTACGACCGTCTTACGACATTCTCTCTCTCTCTCTCTCTCTCTCTCTCTCTCTCTCTCTCTCTCTCTCTCTCTCTCTGGCCGAGAAAACGGAACATGCCGCGACAAGAAACGTCCGCCTCCTCCTCGCTAACGTCGCGGTCGTCCAACTTCGCGTCGTTCCACGAGAAACACGAGCGCGGCGTGTAACGAGCCGGGGCCGGTTTCTCAAAGGGTGCGAGCTCCACGATTCACGGGACGGGACGAGTGACGTAACGGAAGCGACCGAAGGAGGAAGTTGTGTGTATGTTCGTGTGTATGTGTGTCCGGGCAAGACGGGATAAGACGGACGGGATAATACTACACCTTTCTGTTTGGAATATCGTGGTCGATCGTGTCTGAAAATTCATAGGTGTATCTCATCGCGGGAACGCGAGAGCCATCTTTTCTCTTCGTCGGAACACGACGATGGAGACGCGACGTGGCCCGATTCAAGCGTAAGCCAGACGAATGAAGGCTAATTGAGAGGTCGATGAAACGATTAAGCGAGGTGGTACGTCGGCGCGTTGAACGCGGAACGAGGAGGAGAGATTGGCCCGCGGATTGGAGGCGAGAAACGAGACGCGAGAGATCGCTCTCGCATTTTACCCGTCGTTTTACTCGTCGTTGCGAACGCGTCCGTGAATACGTATGCAGGTATACTTGGAATCGAGTGGAGGAGGACCTTCGTCGTCGATCAGCGACCTCTTTGGTCGTTGCGACTGCGAGCGGGAGAGCACGTCGGCGAACGCGACGCGGGGGCCGTCGCGGCCAAGAATTTCAATATCGATCCCCGGCTGCTCCGGCCGAGTCACGAATGTAATTGTCGCAGCAACAACGAGGAAAGTGGAAGAGAGCCGGTTGATCGAGTTCTATTAAAGTGTTTCTCAATCGTTTAGCCTGTAACCCCGTCCTCTCGCGTTTGGTCTCTGGCCGCTTCCTTCTGCTCGACGAGTTCTCTTTCTCTCGTTGTCGTCGTCCCTTTTGTCGTCGTAAAACGCCTGCCGTAGTAATTGCCAGCAGCGGGTCTATTTTTTCTTTCCTTTCTCCCTTTCTTTTTTTTCTCTCTTTCCTTTCCTTTCCTTTCCTTTTCTTTTCGTTGCGACGGCCAAACGGTATTACCGTCGTAAAATGAGTGAGAGAGGGGGAAAAAGAAAAGGAACGAAGGAGCAAGGTCGAAGAGGGAGAACGGTCCCTTCGTCGTCACTCTACCATAATGGTGGCATCACGTGCGCTGGCAGCTATATATGCTCTAGCAACGCAATAATAAATTGCTGTGCCGGCTATAGTTTTATCGTTTCATTTACGACGACGACGATGTCTACTCTCCGCTCTCGTTTCCGAATCCGATGGGACTATAAAGATAAATAAGAACGGGCTCGAAGGTAAACGGGCGGAGCGGGCGTACGACCGTCTGCAAGGTCGTTAAACCAGCTTCGACCGAGGAACCAGGCGGCTCGCGGAAGCATAGAGAAAGAGGCCGGAAAGAAAAAGCCAGAGGAAGGGGTGGAAATTAAATAACGAACCAGACGCCTTTACTTTTTTAACGACGACCAAGCCAAGGAATATATGATCGCGTCGTCGTAAATGCGTTACCGCCGCCCTGCTATTAGCGCTACCCTTTATTTCGTTCGCCGATCCATAATTCGAGACTATCGACTGTCTCGTGTCTCTCTCTCTCTCTCTCTCTTTTCCCCCTCTCTTCGCCTCTCGCCGTGCTTCTGTTGGCCGACGACGTCGTGGTCCAAGTCATAATTCACGACGTCTCGTTCTCGCGTAATCAACCGTAAAGTGTAACGCCGTAAATGTAGTTCCAGGCTTACAGGAGACACACTGCGGTGATCCTTCGATGACGAGGGTTAACTTACAGCGCAGTGCGTCTTGTGATTTCTTTCTATCGCAAACGGAACTCTTTTCCACGTGATATTTTCCAAGCAACGATATTTCTTTCTGAAAACAGTATTGTTTCTGTAGGAACCTGCGAACATAATTGCGACATCTGTCCTTTACTAATTGTATGACGTGTGAATATGTGCTGAACACAGTACACTCTGTGGCTACAAAGTCTTATGTCTTCGCTTGTTTTCCAATCTCAGAGCTATAACATTGCATTGTAACAAGACAACATCTAGAGAGTGAAAGTAAAGTGTCAGTAATAACTATCTTCGAAATCGTTAACAGTTTCAATCGTCGACGAATGCTAATAGCGCGTCAGCGTTTCTGTTCTCGATGCTTTTGCAAAGAGTAAAATTAGCTTTTACTCGGTGAAGAGACACAAGGCTCATTTAGGTTGACGTTAGCAACTCGTTGCTTTGGCAAAAGGGAACACTGGCCGAATTAGGAGCCAGTTACGTTAATTACGTTTCGTTTATTTAAGCCGATGACTTGGTCGCGCGATGCAGCGAGGAGTAAAAAGCGAATTCGATCGTTTGTTTCCAGAACGAGGGCAACAGGCGTGGCAAGATCAACGCCGTCTGTAATCTGGCTGTCGTTGCTACTGACACTGGGAACGAGGGCAACGTCGTCGGCGACGACGAACATGACGAACGTGTCGCCGCTGGCCTCGACGGTGAAGCCGATCACGACCACGGAAGTAGTTTATCAGCGGTTCGCGATCGAGCCGATGGATCAGACGGCGGTGATTGGCAGCCGAGTGACGCTTCCTTGCCGGGTCCTCGATCAGAAGGGCCCGATTCAATGGACAAAGGACGACTTCGGCCTTGGCGCCGTCAGGAACCTCACGGGATACGAGCGTTACGCCATGATCGGCAGCGACGAAGAGGGTAAGTGAATACTCGTGATACCGCTCGGTCGAGAATCGTGGGGAGAAAGGCGCGAAAGAAATGTAAAAATCCAACACGTCCGTAGATTATGTGCCCTTTTTTTCTCTATCTGAATAGCTAGTCTAAAGCTCGTCAGTGAGAACGAGTGCAACGCGCGTTGGTAAAATCTTTCCTCGGAGCGCGAACGCGAGCGAAATCGATCTGCATGACAATAGCGGTCATTACTGAACGTAAGAAAAAATACGCGTGCATAACCACGTGAAAGCAGACGCGTGTTGACGTTAACCGAACGTTTCGCCGATTTACAGATTTTTATGCATTTCGTTGGTGAATTTTGAAGGTACAAAAGAGCGCGCGTAATGCGAAAAGATACGTAAGAGTATTCAAAGTCGGGAACACTCGTCGTGGAACAAATCTCCGAGCGTAGAATTTCGCTTCTTCGGTCATGTTCATAAAAATACGAATTTCCATGACAACACTCGTATTCGCCCCCACACTGGTATTCTGCCAGTCGTCTTCCGGTAAAATACGGCGTGGAATCATGGGAAATTCGGAAACCGTCGCGTATAGAAGCAAGTGAAACGGAACGGGCACAGTCAGACAATCTCTGCAAGAAGAGGGAGACCTTCCGTCCGTTCGATTCTTCCAGCGTGTACACTACTTATTACCACTACCGCCGAAACGAAACAAAACCCATTCGCGAAACATCCTTTGTAACCCCGGGAGGGTCCCTGTGCTTCGAATCCGGCACACCTCGGTCGACCGTGAAGAGAATCCATCGCTTTCCTTTCCTTCCCTCACCACTCCCCTCCACCCATCCTGCGTTCCTTGCCGTGGATAAAAAGGAAGGGAGCGGCAGCGTTCTACTTTCCAATGTGTTTGTTGCGTTTAAATTACACGGTGTCCTTAAGGAGAGGCGGCATCTCCGCAGGCATTCGCGAAATTGCTTTCCCCTTTGTTGCACGTGGGAGACGAGGAAGGAACAGCGATATTGGAAAATGCTTATGCGCACGAACAAATTGAAACTCCGTATTTGCAAACAAGCGGGACAAGAAAACCGAGGCCGTGGCTGCGGCGGTGTTCCGTCGTTCCCCGTCGTTCCCGGTTTATTCTCTCGTAGGAGGATCCTTCTCGGAGTCTGAAGCCAAAACTTACTTGCGCTAGCCTGTCGTATTTAAAGTTTCCGCAGGACCGTAGACTGTCGTTTGGCTCGCCTAATACGAAATTTCACGGCGCTGCGATAAACTCCCCCCCGCCCTACTCTCCCACGAGCCTAAACTCGTTCCGGGGATAAAGCTCCGACTCCGGGCTAACGACTCCCCTAACGAACTGCCCGCTGGTATTAACCGCAGACTCCGCGGGGAAACGCGAGAGAAGTGTCGATATAATCGAACGCGCCTACGATAAAGACATGTACGAAGGATTAACCCTCCGCCTGCCGTGCCATAGTCACAATTTTGAGTCGGGTGTCTGTGTTGGTACAATATCGGTGAGGACCTCGGTCTCGAGCGACCGTTACACTCTGTACAGTATCGGACGACCCTAAATATGCATTAGTGGGATATCCGCGTGAGTCAGAAATGAACTGAGGTTCAGTAGTCGAAGGGTTAAAAAAAAAAAAGAAAAAAAAAACAGAAGAAAAAGAGGAAAGAGAAAAGATCTCTTCTTTACACGGATCGCGTTCAAGGGCGGCACTCGCGATGCAAGGCGAGCAGATATCGCAGCTGAATGACCGGTAACAGACGTACCAACGCAAAAGGGTGGAACATATTTTCAGGGATGAGCTAGAAATCGAATGAATCTCGATGGTGGCACGGTCGCGTTCCACCGACAGCGCCATTTCCTTCGCGCTCGTTTTCCGTATTTTTTTCTCCCCGGCGCCATTGGTCAGCGGCGGCACGCAGCTGCGATACAGCGACGGGTCAGTTTGCACGGGCCAAATTCAATTTCCTGCGGCCTATTGATTTTTTTCTTTTCCTTTCCACTCTTTTTTTTTTTTCTTTTTCTTTTTTTACTTTCTAGCGGTACCTTTTTTCTCGCTGCGTGATGGAATTGTAAAAAGAAAAAAAAAGGAAAGGAAAGGGGAAGCTGAGGAGAAAGGAATAACCGATCGAGTGAGTAGCGAGAGAAAGGTGGAACGATGCGAAATATTTTACGCGGAGCGGGTGCACGAGCCGTGTACGTATCGTCGTTGCGAAACACGACGAGCCGCCGTCAGACGCTTGGCGCGTAATGAAACACGCGTTACGCGTTCAACTTGATGGTATTTTGACGTACGCGTCGGCGAATCGACTGCTGAAAAATGTAGAAGAAAGGCAGAGTCAGAAGGAGACAGCGGGGTATCGTGGATTACGATGATACGAAGCAGGCTTTCGAGGGAAAAGATTCAGACGGATTGCCTTGCCGGCATTATTCGAAATAACGGTGTACTCGCGAGAAGGAAGTTCGAAAGCCTGCAAGTCCGCGAAGAGAGTCGATAACGCGGTAGTATTAACGGTGCCACAGGCGGCAACTTAAATTGCCTTTTTAACGAGTTTCGAAAAATGTGCGCATCGCCAACGTAACGTCCAACGCTAGGTCGGCGTTGAAGCGTTGCAGTGGCGCGGAGCGAAGCCGCAGGGATGGATACGTTCGAGGGTGGTCAATCCCTGGGAGGGATGGAATTAACGACGCGACGATTCACTGACGAAAGTTTTCTTTGGCTGGGCGCGCGAGATCGATGAATCGGTGAAATTGAAAGGCCCCCGAGGGATCCTTTTTCAGGGGCTGTTCCAGGCCAATTGGAAATTGGCCGGTTATGCTCAGCCAGCAGGGATGGACCGACCGGCCGTTTATTCGATTACCTGCCAATTAACCACCATGCGCGGCCGCAAAGAATTCCTTTGGCGGAACGCGGAACAGCCAATCTAATCGATTCGCAGCCGCAGGCTATTTTGCGCGGCGTCGCTCGTGCCGGCCGGCAGATTTAGCAATTTCTCCGTAACCGACGTGTGGCCGCGAATGTGTGTCATCGCGTGGCCATCGTCCGCCGATATCCTAATATCATAATAGACGCGAGCGTGCAATTCAACCGAGCGCAAACGCGAAAACAACAAACGCGCACGCGTCGTTTCGTCGTCCGTTTCGCGTTTCTCTTTCTCGTTTCTCGTTTCTCGTTTTCGTTTCCCCCCTTCGTGCTCGTATTCGTTTTCGTTTTCGTCTCGGTCCGACACTCGAATTCGCGCGCGACGCTTTTTCCCTCCTCTCGTCCGTGTCTAATACCGCAAAAAGCTGCAGCGTTTCGGAGGTTTATCCAGTGAAAAATTTCCGCGTTCCGCCACGATAAAACATCGCTGGCCGTACGGTACACACGTATCGGCCAGAGCTTTGCCCCCGTTCCCCTCCCACTCGGACACCGGCCGCACCATACGCTCTCCTTTGCCCTCTATTTGCACTGTTGCTGTCCCTCTTTCGCGCGACGAGGATTAGCAACAACCGATTTTACGATACACATTCTCTCTCTCTCTCCCACTCCATCTGCGTCGATATTATATAGGTTATGCTCGCGTACAATTCACCAACTCGCCGGTGCCCTGTACCGCGAGTACGTGTGCTGGTGTGTGCTGGGCGAAACGCGAGCACGACGCGGGGGCGACGTATCCGCGCGGCACGCCATACTGCAGCCGCGGCCGCGTGTGCTCTCGTAACAATCACGCCGGCTCGGAACGATAAGATTCGTGGCAGGCGAGAGGCAATTTAAGCCAACGGCCGCCTCGTATATACACCGTGTACCAGGCTAACTCTATTACCCGAGCTATTCCCTTTACTTTTCGAGTTTCGAGACGGTGCGCGAGCCTCTGGTTCGCGGAAGTTGCGTGCGTGGCCCCGGCTGCACGCCGAGGAAACCGACGAGAACCGTTTTCGTTTCGAGCGTGTGCCGTTCAACTCCCCGACATCGGGCAGCGCCGTTTCATTTTGACACGATTTTCCCCCAGTTTCAGCTGAGAAAGAGACAGTGATTACTCTCTCTTTCTAGCTTTCCGTTTCATCGACTTTCGCTTCAATTTTGTGGGAAGCCCTGTTTACTCGCGCGAATACCCCTTGCTCACCGCGAATTTCTTATTAGCCTTGAATAGGTATGTAATTGGGCTGCGAGAAGCTTACTATCTGGGAATCGCGGGCCGTTTGGGAAACTCGTCTTGAAAATTCCACCTTTTCAATTAACCAACCAAGTTCTTTCGGCTGATCAACAAGATACTTTCAATTAATCAACAGAGAGTTTTACATCGTTATATAAGACTCTGTCGTCGTTAAAGAACAGTAGTGTCTCGTGTATTGAAAGTAACATCGAATTAATCGCAACGCGTGTGGTTTACTGTGATTAAAGTTATATAAATGTAAAATCACATTGTTGAATACCTATTAACCAGCTCTCGCGTCGAACAATGCACAGTGTTTACAATACGCTCGGAAGTTTCTTCTCTTAATTGCTTTCTTTCCAATTAAACCTAAACCACGCGCATAAATACGCAGTTTTTTACTTCGTCTACCTTTATTTCGATACTCGCACATAGTTAAATACAGGAAAGGAAATACTATCGCGCTACATAGCTATTTATCAGGGTCTTTTAATCCCTTGGCTCACTTCACATTGCCGGAATAAAACCAAAGGTGCCTATAAATGCCCGCCAAATGTTATTGACAATAATTGCGAGAAAAATATATTGGATCAGACGTAAGCGAATTCTAATTCAAAATTTTAATATATTATTCAAACTTTGATTATTTTACAGTTATTTCATAAGTGAAATTTCACTTAATGAAAACCTTGAAACGAAAAGGTTTCGATAATAAATTAATTGCAAAATGTCGCAAATACAAGTCACCCACGTTTCGAATTTTACTATACCTTACTATTAGATACATTACAAAGCTTGCTGCAGTTGCTGTTAAATTTTTAACACGTGCAACTAACAATTCAACACGAGTAACAGACAAAATAAAAATAAACGTAAAAGAGT